TTCATGAAATCATGGCAATAACTATCTTTTCCATACAGTGATGGTTGAAACTTTTGGTGTTTTTTGCCCAGAGTCTCTGTTATTAGTTCATGAACTCGGAAGGAGATTAGGCCAAGCAACGAAAGATTACCGTTCTACCTATTTTTTGATTCAACGTGGTTATGTTGCTTCGGAACTATTCCTCCTTCACATAATTTTGATGAGATCATGCATTGCCCTTATTTCAGTACGGAACTAAAATCTCTTCAAAACAAGTCAAAACATGTGATACGAATTGTCAAAGAAAAGGCCAAAGTACACAATAAGTACAAAAAAACTAGAAGTAATATATTTTTTGAGGAATTTAAACGTTTGAGACTCAATTTTAAACAAAAAAGTAAAGAAGCATATCAAAAGTATTTAGAAAATGCTCAAAATCAGTTGAGAGTTGACCCAAACTTTCTTTGGACATTTGTTCATCGGAAGAATAATACATCTAGAATTCCAAGTATCATGAAATATGGGGAAGAAGTTTATGATAATCCTGAAACTATAGTAAATGCGTTCAGTAACTTTTTCAAAACTGCATACCAATCTAATGAAATCAACGAAGAGATTTTGGATCTTAGTCCCAGTTACAATATATCTGTAGATATAACTTCTGAACCTATAAGTGAACGTGAAATCTTTGAGGCAGCAAAAAAAACTAAAAAATAAATTTACCACTGGACCAGATTACATTCCCTCATTTCTATTCAAAGACTGTATAGGGGTCTTAGTGCGTCCCCTGAAAACTTTATTCAACTCTATACTAAGATCTTCCATATTTCCCGATATTTGGAAAGTGGCTAAGGTGTGTCCTGTACACAAATCAGATGCCAAGAATCTGATTGATAATTATAGGCCAATATCTCTCTTGAATATTGGAGCCAAATTATTCGAGATAATTTTGTACAACCGCATCTACTTGTCAACGAGACATATAATTTCTGTTTATCAACATGGATTGATGAATTTTCGTTCGACAATTAGTAATATATCGATATTCAGTCAATTTCTGTGCGAAACACTAGATAATAGGGGTCAGGTGGATGTGGTGTATACAGATTTCTCGAAAGCTTTCGACAGAATAAATCACACATTTCTATTAGACAAGCTTTCGAATGTGGGTTTTCCCAAAATGTATATAGCACTTTTGGAATCATATTTAGTCAACCGTAAACAGTTTGTTCAAAACAATGGTTACATTGAACAGGATAATTCCTCCCCTAAATTCATCTTTATATGAAGTGAAACAACATTTGAAATCAACTTTGTTGACCAGCATGGAGTAATGTATTGTAGTGTAGTGTTTTCCTTTACTTTTCTGCAAACCGAGATATATTTATCATATTCTTTCTTTCAATTTTGCCGATGAAGAAAATTTAATTATAATATTGCTCACAAATGTTATGCACAATAAAGCTATTATTATTATTATTAAATCGGAAGTGTATACGGCAACCAGCGGTGTACCACTCTTGTTCTTGCTGTACATAAATGACCTGTGTACATCTCTCGAATGCAAGAGGCTTATGTTCGCCGATGATTTAAAATTATATACGTCCATCACTTCTTTAAATGATTGCAGTTATTTGCAGATCCAGTTGAATATTTTTCATAGGTGGTGTATCAAAAATAAACTCCCAGTGAATATATCCAAATGTAAAGCAATGACATTTACTAGGAAAAGTAATAGTCTTCACNAAGGTTGCCAAAGAGAGTGTGTGTTCGGCGAATCTTAGCCTACAGCTGCTAATATAATGGAGATGTCTCCTAGTGACATGTCCACCTTCCTGGAAAGGATAGGATGGATGGTGACCTAGGAGAACAACTCTTCGGGAGGATGTACAATGGGTCACATGTGGCCTAAGTGCTGTGGGTCTACACTCACCCGCTCTACTCTGAAGATACAGATACAGACAAGGCCTTGAACTGAAAATCAATTTAAATAAATATAACAACTGCCAGATCACAAACTTTCGGAGTACCTATACTGAATATTTTGGTCATGCTGTGAAGATATCCAAAAGCATGCCCTTTTCAGTTCTTTTCCAATATTCGTTATCCGTCAACAGAAGCAGGAGTTCTCAAAGTAGTCTTCTCCGTCAAAGAATTTTGTATAGGATCAGTTACTACGTTTTCTAAACATATACAAACTCGGTTATGCAAACGACTCAGTCACCCTAGTCCCTATTTAAATATAATAATAAAGTGGGATGCTTGCACTAAACTAAAATATTAGTTCAGACACGCCTGAAGACGCTATTGCATAGCCAAACACGTGTTGCGTTTTCCTGAAACTATTTAGTGAAAATCTCACAATAAGGTGTTATGAAGGTTCATCTAGTAGGCATCAGTCGATTTCTTTTCACGTACATTGTTATTCTGAGGTAAGAAATAGCTTTCATTTATTCGATCCAAATATTGACTCTCCCATGTTATTTAATTGATTTGATTCTTTACGTTTTTATTTCTACCTAACTTGTTTTCATTCCATTTGACCGTTGGTAGTACTAAATACATTTATATTATTATGGTAATTAGATATTTCATTTCCTCAATATTTCGAAAGAAAATGCCTAGTGTCACCTATCTTGTACAACTCGTACATATAAGGAAATAAATTCAATTCCACTGATGGTACCTGTAAAAAATGAATTTATCCAAAGAGTATGGTTTTCTACCGATCCAACAATGATGACTGACAGCTTAGTTGAACTACTGCTTTCCCGATGGCGTTACATACATCGTAAATGGAGATTGTTATTCCTTATATTCTGTGTACAAACTGAACAGGTATTGTTGATACTCGACTTTAATTGTACAGGAGATTAGGTATTCTATTTTCCTATTTATGTACTTTCATAAAATATATCTTATCTGAAAGCAGCAACAATTATGATTGAGGTGTAAAGTAAATGTCCCAATAATCGACATAAATATGATCGCACACCTCGTTGAAATATAAAATGGATAAATTCATATAGAATACTTTAAAATATGTTTGAGTTTGTCACAACTTAAAATATGATAGAAGAACAGGAAGATAATCATTAAAACTAATAAATACAGTTTATTGTATGATTTTCAATATAAAGGGTTTAATCCCCGAAGGAACATGAGGAATTTAACTAAAATCTTCAAAGTGATCAAATTTCAATGAATACCAGAAATATGTTATCGATCCTCTCCAAAGGGATCTCCCTAACACGTATATAACACTGAAATTCGATTCCTTCCAACGATTCTTCAAATAAAATCCTCAACCTCAATCCTCGTGGTCTCGGAAAAATCCGAAAATTGTTCACTGTGAATCAACAGAATTACTCAATGAGATATCTAAACATTCAATCTACCTTTCTACACAATTAAATAAAAGATAAATAGAATAAATAGGTCTTTTACCAGAAAATGCATTTACACCACGTACTTTGTACAAACTTGTCGATTTGTCAACGGTCGCTCAAGTCTCGTTCGGAAGCAAAAATTTCTCGATGTTCACGATATGCCATCGATATCCGATCTTTTTCGCGCAAGCGGTCTTCACTCGAATTTGAAAGTGACTACTGTCCCGGCATTACTTCGATGCAAAATGTTAAAACTTTAGCAATGGAATGACATTTTCATTACAAAAGTCACACCCGTTCGTCTTCCTGACACGATACTTTCTTATTATGTTTAGCCTAACTCAAATTGAAAGTAATCTCCGTATCCACTAACACGAGCTGATCAGCTCAGAGCTTCAGAGGGTCAAAAATCTTCACTAATTTTCATCCATTCCAGTACATTCTGCTACCTACTCGTTTCTCACTATTTGCCCACTTGACTGGACTTGACAGTATATAGATATTGTAACTTGGTTGTAATTAAGAAGTAACTTATTATTAACGCTTGAGAAAGTTATTGTATAGCGAAACACGTGTCGCGGTTTTTGTGAAACCCTTTATAGAGTAAATCATACAATAAACAGTATCAATGAGTTTTTTCAGATGAAAAGGTTGCTCAACGACTCTCAAATGATTTTTTCACCAGTATACAGCCCCGTGAATGATATATATTTTTTACTTTCGTCAGCGGCTCGGTAGAAAGTTGTGCAACGTTGCGAACCAAAATGTTCCGACCTATATTCAGCAAGCTCAGTTTTTTTTGTCAAAACTGTTCTTTGTGTATAAAAGGATAGGTATGAAATGTGTTCAAGCCCATATACTATTTATTTGTTTGTGCATCAGAATCCATCTCACTCTTTGTTGATCTCTCTTACATTTGTTGCAATAGCATGGTTTTTCTGAAATAGGTAGGAATAAAACAGGCTACAACAGTTCATGTTTTATTGGAACAGTAAATGCAGTTGGCAATCCTTTCATCACCATTTGACAAATTATTGTGAATATTTCTGAAGTTTTTCTGAAGTAGAGTAATTTTCAATATTAATAAGAGGTTATTTACAGTCGATTTTTGTTACGAGCAACGTTGAGATATGAGTGAATGAAACGAATCACCATGTACGAGACTTGAGGTCTGCTCTGAAGTGTTGATTTTACATTTCGATATATCTGGTGATAACAAATTTCAAGTACTTGAAAAAAAAAATCAGGGTATAAAAACCAAACTTGTCATAGTCGTTTCTGCTGCATCACGCTATGGCTCCTTTGAGATCTTTGGTTCTGGTGCTATTATTTTCAGTAGCAAGGTAATTTCAATAATGCTTTATTCTTTTTCTTACATTGTATTTTCCACATGAGTTTATAGTTCATTTGATTGATAGAATGTTTCTTCATGCTGTCAATCCATGCATATTTATGGATTCAATAATATATATGAACAGAAAGTGAATATAAATTTTCCTTTCCAGTTTTGCTGCTGAACTGAATAACAAATACTTTCCAGATGACTTTATGTTTGGTGCTGCAACATCCGCATATCAAATTGAAGGTAAGTCTAACACAGAAATCGATGGTATCTCAAAAATGTAATGACATTCATTGGCATGCCAAGAAGCGGCCCTCGGTTAGCAGCTTCACCAAGATTAATAAGCTACAGTTGTTTCTGGGAAAGAAAGGTATTTGCTTTTCTGCGTCGCCATCATTTAACAAAAAATTTGAGAAATAGAAAGCCAAAAACCTTTCCTTCCCAAAAACTAATCTCTCCTAGAAATATACTCCTTCCAATTCATTCAAATTAATCCCGAAAAAGGTCTAATTTGAATTATAATTTGACATACTTCAACGGAAAAATGCTACCCTTACCTCCAACCCCCGTCAAATGACAGGTACAACTCAATTTTTCAAAATCGGAAGTATAGGCTTGTGATATATCGTTTGAAACGTTTCTGTTCTGTCTGTTCAAAATCTCTTTTTTTCGTTAACCAGCTGTCGCACCCCTATGAACGACAGCCCTCAGAAGTCGAAACTTGCGTGAGCTAAGGATTAACGAGGTCTTGCCTTTTAACGTGTGATTCTCAACACGGGTTGGACGATAGCAAGCAAAATCGATCGTTCAGACTAGAGCTTGAACCACCGACCAACACGGCAGTCAATTCGGGTGAGTGAACAAAGCACCCACGTCGAACCGCTTGGCTAGCGACCGACCCGGTAACATTAAAAACTGTTATCGCTTTTGAATTTATTGCTGTAATTAAGATAAAATAAATCAAAATCATGTGGTTACCGAAATTCGATAAAATACACCCAACAATTATTTTATGTTGAGGTATTGATAAGAAAGTGAGCAAAAACCATAGCAATGTGTTTTTTCAGATGGTATCCTCTAAGGGTCAGGTGGATGTGGTGTATACAGATTTCTCGAAAGCTTTCGACAGAATAAATCACACATTTCTATTACACAAGCTCTCGAACGTAGGTTTTCCCAAAATGTATATAGCACTTTTGGAATCATATTTAGTCAACCGTAAACAGTTTGTTCAATACAATGGTTACATTGAACAGGATAATTCCTCCCCTAAATTCATCTTTATATGAAGTGAAACAACATTTGAAATTAACTTTGTTGACCAGCATGGTGTAATGTATTGTAGTGTAGTGTTTTCCTTTACTTTTCTGCAAACTGAGATGTATTTATCATATTCTCTCTTTTAATTTTGCCGATGAAGAAAATTGAATTATATTATGTAATTACCTTATTGCTCATAAATGTTATTTGTATTACATAGCAGGAGGGGTGGAAGATAGCCGTAGGCTAACACCTACCTTTTGTGTGTAATTTATGCACAATAAAGCTACTATTATTATTATTGAATCGGAAGTGTGTACGGCAATCAGCGGTGTACCACAGGGATATAATTTAGGCCCACTCTTGTTCTTGCTGTACATAAATGACCTGTGTACATCTCTCGAATGCAAGAGGCTTATGTTCGCTGATGATTTAAAATTATATACGTCCAACTCTTGTTCTTGCTGTACATAAATGACCTGTGTACATCTCTCGAATGCAAGAGGCTTATGTTCGCCGATGATTTAAAATTATATACGTCCATCACTTCTTTAAATGATTGCAGTTATTTGCAGATCCAGTTGAATATTTTTCATAGGTGGTGCATCAAAAATAAACTCCCAGTGAATATATCCAAATGTAAAGCAATGACATTTACTAGGAAAAGTAATAGTCTTCACTATGCATACTCAATAGATAATGTAGAACTGGGAATTTATTTTGATGCGCAGCTCACCTTTAACATACACGTTAGTCGTACAGTAAATGCAGCATATCGTGCATACGGATTTATTGTAAGAAATTGTAGAAATTTCACAAATTTGTTTGCTCTAACAAAAATATATTTCTGTTTTGTCCGATCAGAACTAGAATATGGATCTCTAATATAGAACCCCATATATGGAAAATATATTTCTATCGTGGAGAATGCACAAAAAAAATTCCTGAAATTTTTGAGCTTTAAAATTGATGGAGTATACCCACCTAGATGCCAAAACTATGTTTCTTTATTACAAAGATTTGACTTTATATCCTTAGAAAAACGCAGGGCGCAGACTTCCTCAATATTCCTTTCCATCTTTTGAACAATAACATTGATTTCTGTGAATTATTATCTTACATCAACATATTTGTACCCCGGCAAACATCTCGAAAAAGCTGCACTTTTATGTGTAAACGGGCGCAAACTAACCTTATGCTTAAGGCACCAATCTATGTAATGTGCACGAACTATAACNGTAAGAAATAGCTTTCATTTATTCGATCCAAATATTGACTATCTCATGTTATTTAATCGATTTGATTCTTTACGTTTTTATTTCTACCTAACTTGTTTTCATTCCATTTGACCGTTGGTAGTACTAAATACATTTATATTATTATGGTAATTAGATATTTCATTTCCTCAATATTTCGAAAGAAAATGCCTAGTGTCACCTATCTTGTACAACTCGTACATATAAGGAAATAAATTCAATTCCACTGATGGTACCTGTAAAAAATGAATTTATCCAAAGAGTATGGTTTTCTACCGATCCAACAATGATGACTGACAGCTTAGTTGAACTACTGCTTTCCCGATGGCGTTACATACATCGTAAATGGAGATTGTTATTCCTTATATTCTGTGTACAAACTGAACAGGTATTGTTGATACTCGACTTTAATTGTACAGGAGATTAGGTATTCTATTTTCCTATTTATGTACTTTCATAAAATATATCTTATCTGAAAGCAGCAACAATTATGATTGAGGTGTAAAGTAAATGTCCCAATAATCGACATAAATATGATCGCACACCTCGTTGAAATATAAAATGGATAAATTCATATAGAATACTTTAAAATATGTTTGAGTTTGTCACAACTTAAAATATGATAGAAGAACAGGAAGATAATCATTAAAACTAATAAATACAGTTTATTGTATGATTTTCAATATAAAGGGTTTCACAAAAACCACGTGTTTTGCTATGCAATAGCTTCCTCAAGGAAGCTATATTTATAGCTCAAGGCAGCTAAACCTAGATTATTGAGATATGCAGGTAGGTTTTTTGTATAGCGTAAATAGGCATCAAGAAAGGTAATCAGGAATTCCCAAGTCCAAGGGGGAAAAAGTTTGAAGATTGTTTAGAATTTCGTCAGTTTTGAAATTGAAAACCTGAAGCTTTGGGTCGATAAAAAATATTGTATCTATTTGTTTAAAATGGTCTCACAAACCAAATTCTATGCGGGCAAAGCCGCGAGCAACAACTAGTGTATTTATAACCGAGAATTTAAACATGTAATTTCTGAACGGTAACAAAAAACGTAGAAATTAACAATTAATAAATAATTTTTCCTTATCACAATTCACGAATTTATCTGCTTGTGTAATACTTTATTGATGATTACATTATCTGTTGCAATTATTATTTATGATATTTGAGTTCAAAGTCGTCAGTACTGTAAGGAGATACCAAAACACTTCAATTGCTATCTTGAAATGGTGATCAGTAGAATACCCCTTCAACTACCTATCTCTTCAGTTGTATTGCCAATTGCATATGCAGGAAATTTTCTGTGAAGATTCCTGCACTGACGCCTGTTGGATATAATCCAACACCCTTTGTGGTATTAGCCAGGGCAGTAGTTGTTTTCTGAAAGGCGTCAGTCCATTCAACCTACTGTGTAGGTATATTTGAGACTGGCTTGAACGTTTAAAGTTCTTTTCTTTAAATTTGTTTACGGCCAGTCTTCAAGCATGGCACACTGACTAATAAGAATGAAAATTTTCATTAAAAAATGTGAGACGACCCCTGAAAAACAGCAAAGTGGTTTTACAAAGTCACACCCGTTCGTCTTCCTTACACGATACTTTCTTATTATGTTTAACTTAACTCAAATTGAAAGTAATCTCCGTATCCACGAGCTGATCAGCACAGAGCTTCAGAGGGTCAAAAATCTTCATTAATTCCCAACCATTCCAGTACATTCTGCTACCGACTCGTTTCTCACTATTTGCCCACTTGACCGGACTTGACAGTATGTAGATATTGTAACTTGGTTGTAATTTAGAAGCAACTTATTATTAACGCTTGAGAAAGTTATTGTATAGTGAAACACGTGTCGCGGTTTTTGTGAAAACCTTTATACAGGGTGTTCCTTAAACACATGCTAATATTTAAGGAGGTAATTCTTAGACCCATTTCAAGAAAAAACTTTCTATGCCACAAGGCGCATTTTCTGATGTACACAAATTTGTATTTTTTCAAACAATGGCATCCCTACGGGTTTCGCATTGAATATTTTTGGGGAAAAAGTACTACGCCAATGCTTTCTTTTCAAAATAAAATCATTTTTAAAATCCTCATTCATTTTTGAGAAAATTTGATAGATCCAGAACTTCTGCGCAGTTTACTAGTTAGGAGTGCCTCTGAATTCAATTAGTGTCGCTCATTTTTTTGTTCACAAAAATCATATTGAAAATACTTTCACGTAGACCCAGCTCTACCCGATCTAGGCTCAAGAAGTAAGTTTACTAATATTACATGTGGTGTAGTGCGTAGCACCATGATTGTTTGAGTTTCCACATGTTTGTATTCCAAAATGAATGAACAAATAGAAATACAGAGGCTACATAAATTTTTTGATATTTCATAAACAGATTTACACTGAAATATTATTTGTATGTATATAATGTAGGATGAATGGATTTCGTTCTTGGTTATAGTCTACCTGGTCATATCAACAAACCTAACTAGGTTGTTATATCACAATAATACTCATAAATTATGAGTATTATAAAATAAGCCACAGGTTTTCCTTTCAAATTACTGTGTTTTTTGTTAAAATGACTCATGAAGGTTTCATACTGCGTTGGGATAGTGTTTCCATACAAACAACACACTGTGGAATGAGCTCATTCATATCCCCAGTATAAGTAAACCCAAAAGCAAAATATTTATAATCATATTTTCGATTGACTCCTTTTTTACTTGTACTAGAAGCAATTCTGGATGGCTGAATGCTAGTTGTGGTTGCATTTGATTCAGTTGTCGTACCGGTATTCTCAGTAACACTTGCAACAGTTTTCATCACTTTCACTACTTTTAAAAAGTTCAGGTGTAGAACCACTGGTTGAAGGACCAGGTTGGCAACGTTTTAAAAACTTATCTATATCAACTGTGTGAAAGCAAAGAGTGAAACAACACTAAATTCAACCAGACAAAACATTTAGCACTGCTACACGTGGCGACTGCCGAAAACTGAATTGAGTGGTTACAAATGAACTGAGGCAGCCGGTAGAGGGGGAAGGCCTCGCAGAGCCGAGCGGTCCCGATAATTTACGAATCGAGGCCAACCAAACACGAGCAGGTTATATTTACGCAATTGATGAATACCTGAGTGAAGTGCTGAACACCGGGCGCAAGAGTTTTGATTTCAATCATGTTATTTTGAGTATAATGTTAACTCAGTCACTTAGTTTTTAGTAGGTTGAACAGACAAAATAATCTCGTCCTCGTTCTAACGTCTTCTTGAATTTTGACTATACACAGATGCCGATTGTTCGTGAACTAATGCTGACGTACCGGCCCAAACAATCCGGATATATAATACTCGTACTTAGAACGTCACCACGTACCACCGCAGTAGCCTCTGCGTACGTACCACTAGTGGTACGCGTACCACAGGTTGGGAAACACTGATCATAATTATATGAGTATGAAAACTGCATTTGAATTTACAAATTCATGAATAATTTTAATTTTTTGTCGCCTAGGTGCTTGGAATGAAGATGGAAAAGGTGAAAATATATGGGACCACATAACACACAGAAATAAAACTTTTACCCATGGAGGTGATAACGGTGATATAACTTCTGATTCATATCACAAATACAAAGAAGATGTTGCCATTTTGAAAGCTATGAATGTAACCCATTACAGATTTTCCATTGGGTGGTCCAGAATATTACCAAATGGTGAGTATGCAATATCGGAAAGAAGTAAAGATTTAACGAAATATAAAATAAATAGGGATCACTCTGATACTTGAAGTTTTTTATCTCTCCGTTTTCTTATTGAACATGATTTGATAAACATACTACATCAGATGATTTTTTTGTCAAGATATCACTGTTATTCATATCAGAAAGTTCAAATTTCGAATTGATATCTTCATTTGAAAGTAGGTAAATAATAATGTTATCATCGAACGCATTATGATAAACAGAATTACATCTCTCAGGAGAAGTAAATTATGGGATGGAATTATTCTCACAATGTTCATATAGAAAATACACATAAAATGATTTTCTTGTGAATATGCAAAGTGTATTCATTAAAACAACCAATTTCATAAAAAAAGTTACCAGGCCACTGACAACTCTTCAGTTAGATTCAAATGATAAGCAGGAGTGTGGCATTAGCATTACTTGTCGCCGAGAGGATGCTATGGCTTTTTCAAAAGTATTTTGTGATACATGAATTGATAGATCTTTCATTTCTCATCATCAAGTGTTCTCTAGTATTCAGTGGATATATGTCCATTCTGAGAATTTGCAATTATTACAAAAATTTCCATCATTCACTTCCTAACAATGATGAAGTCTATTTTTACATCATTCCTTACATTATGAAATGTTTATGGAGTAATTTGGTTGCAAGCAACTATTATTCTATAGATTGTTTCAACAATTTTCTTTTTTGAAATCTGTTTAGATGACAAGAAAACTGTTATCGCCAAGTTAATTTACTCAAGAAACCATGAAAGTTGTGTGATTCTCATAAACGCACATCATCGGGTGTCATTTCTACATTATACACCAAAGAGTCTCAATAATTTCACGTTCAACCTACAGTGAATAGGTATTTCCAGCCACAGATATTAGTACGGGTGCTTATAATTTCATATCCCAACCACATCTTTTTATTTTCCTCTACGTCAGCATGTGTGGCCAGAAATCTGTGGATAATTTCACGCTAATAAAACTTTCGATGGTTCTACTTCAATTATTTTTTCAGGAGAGAATTAAACTAATATCTTTGTTTTCACCTTCACATTAGAAAACATTTCGACATAGTCGTAAATCTGAGAAGTGAGATGACTTATCATATCCTTCTGTTGTAATTAGGTTCATAACACCATTCATTTCAGGATTCACCAACCAAATTAATGACCTGGGTGTAGCATATTATAACAACCTGATCAACGAATTGAAATCAAACAACATCGAACCTCTAGTAACACTCTACCATTGGGATACACCCCAGGCTATACAAGACATAGGTGGTTTTCCAAATGGAATCATAGTCGACTTATTTGCAGACTATGCAGAACTATGTTTCAAACTGTTTGGTGACCGGGTCAAATACTGGATGACTTTCAACGAACCAAAACAGCCCTGCAACCATGGATATGGTTCGGGGGATTACGCTCCTGGTATTCAATCACCCGGTATAGGAGAGTATATGTGTTCGCATAATGTTATTAAAGCACATGCCAAGGCTTGGCATATTTACAATGACAAGTTTAGAGCAGAGCAAAAAGGTACGTAAAAGAAGTCAAAATATTTATTCGTCCTCCAACAATATTATTAGCGCCTTTCAAATATCAACACGGCTGAAAATATTAACAAAATATAGTGAATCAAATTAATTGTAGTAAAACAAATGAGTAATGAACAGTATCAATTCTGCTGGGGTATTTGGTGAAGTCTTGCTAATCAGAAAAATAACTCCCCAGTTCAAATGAGCATACATGTATGAACGAAATCATGCCAAGTATAATGAACATTTTCAGTAGACACTCCACGTTCTCATCGGGATCAGATCCAACAATTTTGAAATCACCATTTGAATTAGGGGTCAAGTGATACCTCGTTTGGAAAGTCAACATTCCTTGTTTTTTACGATTTTATATGGCTTGTCCTGTTTAATTGTTTAGGACAAATTTAGTAACTGAAGTTTAACCCTATTCCTGTCCACAAATTGATCTGATATTTGGTACACATTTTAGTAGAGAGCTTTCGGTAAATTTGCTCAACATCCTTTGTGCTGGAAGTGGTATAGCCATCAAATACAACTGTCATAATTCACAAGTTATGATGATTAGCAATATGACTGCTATATAGTTGAAATACAACTGAAAAAAAATGGAATTTGCATACGGTAGTTATAGGTTTATTAGTTTTCCATACTAAGTTGTTATTAATTTTCGTACTGTGAGATCACTATCTCAATCCTTATTTAGCATTGAATTTTCCGTTAATTGATACCACATATGATTTCTTTTGAATTTTATGGAAAAAATGGCAGCCAAAAAAACGCATTTCGCACACTCAAAATTTTCTAGAGTTTTAGTATGTTGAAATGATATGAGTACCTAACTGCTCAGCATACAATTTTTCGTTAGTTGATACCACACACGATTTTTTAAGAATTTGAAAAAAATCAAGATGGTGGCCAAAAAACGCATTTCGCATGAGTACTGAACTCAAAAAATCAAGACTCGTTTTTGTGGGGATTAGTTCCACCCTAAACCCTATTTCGATTCGACTAAAAACTGCAATCCAGCTGTCAATACAATACATATGACTGCAATCCTACTCATTCTACAGGGTGTTCCAAATTAAGTCGGCACCATTGCCGACTCCGTTATTATTGATGCTACGAATTCGGTCAAAAGGGCAAACCAGTAGCATTTTTGATGGCCCTCTCGATGCCGGAAACAAAAAAAAGACAGTCGCGTTTTCGAAATATTTCACAAAATGATATTTTTTTGAAAAGAAAACCTTATATTTTGTCATGCATTTCGATTCGTGATAACATTCTCAACGTCAAAGCTCATATCACCTTTCTCATATCTTCAAGTTGAGCGAGTTATGTGGAAATATTTATTTCTTTCACTCGTACTAAAAATGTCTTTGTTTTCGCGAAGTGAATATTCAAAAACACCGCCTTCTTATTGAAGACATCCAGGGTTGGCTTCAATAAAAANATGTTTGAATTCTGGTGTATATTTGATGAGTAATTGAAGTGATTTGATTACTACTTCAATAAAACAGTATACCGTGTTAGGAATCATACGTTGAAAGGTAAGAACTCGTTAGTCCTTAGCTCGCACAAGTTTCTCAACTTCTGAGAGTTGTCGTTTGTATGGGGGCCACAGCTTGATTTACGGAAAAACAGATTTTAAACAGATTAAACAGATTTTTAGCACTTATTTGAAAGAAGTGACCCAAAGAAGAGAAAACTTATTTTCCACAACCGACATGCGGTTCAATGCAATTTTTATTACTTTATTCTATGTAAGAAATGTGAAAAAAAATAAAGTGGAAAATTTCAATGAACATTTGTGAGATAACGTGAATTTGAAATCTGAATAATAATAATGTTGAAACAAAGATAGATAATATTTTGAAAATCAAAAAAAGAGAAATTGCAAAACAATGCATATGTTTTTAGTAATCCATTTATTATTTTTTCTCTGATTTCTTCTCCATACTGTGCGTCCAAGTACTGAAACTCTAACAGGAATCAAACCAATCTGATGACTGAGTCGCGAAGAGACATAAACTCAATAAAAAATTAAATATTTTGATTTGAATCAAACTGTAAAAAACCTGCACAAATGTCATTGGAATGAAATATCAAATTTTTCGTGTGTACTTTTTCGGTACTTTGAAAAAGATGAGTTTTTCGAATTTTCATTTTTAGTCAACAGATTGATTTGATAACGATTATATTTTCAATTTGTTTTATTTGTCGTTGATTGAATATAGGTCAAGTTGGGATTGTAATAGATTCCAATTGGTGGGAACCAGCGAGCGATTCCGCTGAAGATAAAGAAGCATCAGAAACCAAACTTCACTTCACAGTGAGTAGAACTTTAGTAAAAATATCTCAAAATTTTCTAAATTGTTCTGAATTGGTACCTTCAAAAAACTGTTGAGTCAACGAAAACGTTTTTTATTATTAAGAAGACTCAGAACAATTCCCCGATTTGGCATTTGAAGATTTGATAATAGAAGTCGAGAAGGCTCATTATGGAATTGATTTAATACATCGATGTTAGATCACATATACTGAAAAATCACTTCATATTTGATCACCTTATTATTCAAACATCGGGATTTCAAGTGGTACACGAACATCTTTTAGAATATTTATCACTTGTTCTAAAAAAATCCATTTTCTTATTTTCAGTTCGGATTATATGCAAACCCCATTTTCAACGGTGACTATCCAAAAGTGATGAAAGACAAAATAAAGGAACGCAGTTTGGCTCAGGGTTTCAAAGAATCTCGACTACCTCCCTTCACTGAAAAAGAAATAGCTGAAATCAAAGGCACTGCTGATTTCTTGGGTGTCAATACATACTCATCGTCCCTTGTTTCGCACGACAAAGAGGTGGATAAAATGGCTATGGGCTACGTAAAAGATTCCGAAGTCAAGGACTGGTTTGATGATTCATGGGAAAAGGGAGCTTCAGATTGGCTAACGGTTAGTGAAATTTAGTCAATTCATGCTGGTTATGTATTACTCAACTAATTTCAATTCAAATCAATTCAATGTTAAAAATCATTAGTACACAGTTTATTGTATGATTTTCACTATAAAGGGTTTTACAAAAACCGCCACATTTGTTTCGTTATACACTAGCTTTCTCTATCGGTTTATTAACGCTTGAGAAATCTGTTGAATAGCGAAACACGTGTCGCAGTTTTTGTAAAACCCTTTATAGTGAAAATCATACAATGAAATGTATTGATGAGTTTTGATATGGATTTTCATCTAGTGTCGGCCAGTTCTATTCAACAATTCAATGTTGCAGATTTCAAATGGAATCTGCAATAAAAGACGAGCAAACTGTTACAAAAATGTACCAACCAATTCCTTCTTATAAATTGATTAAGGCTGTCACGGCCAAGATTTTCAGTGTTATGATCTTCGTTCGGGTTTGAAGGCCGCCGTGGTTTGGAATTGTAACTTAGTTTCGCCAGCACGAGTGGCTGGTTTCTTCAGAGGTCTATTCATCCTGATGATTCACCGATGACTTGTGATTTCTAGTTCGTAAGCTGTATTTTTGTTGACACATGTAGCCCGCCTTTCTGATTGGTGCGTTGTTATTGGCCGAAGTGTTATTACCTGTTAGATTGCGTTGCACTGCTGCCACCTTAGCATCTTTCAGTATGAGATTCCAAATCAGGTTAAGCGTTATCACCTCCTCTTTTCTGTTGTAATTTTCCGTATGTTTGTAGATTTTTATGGCTTCCCGTACAAGCCAGCTGTGGTATCCTGTCACCTCACAAACCACAAGAGGAGACTAAATCATCTGTCGGTAACAAATAAGACAGATGGGTATCCGCGGCTAAGCTAAACAGTGGAGACGGGAGTGGGTTAAACAACTTAGCAAATTTCAAATAGATCTTAATGGGCGCCAGGTAAATTTAATCCTCCAGATACCCTAAGTAACTCACAATATCAATAACTTACCAATTAATATTGGAAATAAAAGATAAAGATCCCCAATATGATTTATTCAGTAATCCTAACTTACATGGATTAACCAACAACGCTTCTAAGACAACAATGCANAGTTTTTGTAAAACCCTTTATAGTGAAAATCATACAATGAAATGTATTGATGAGTTTTGATATGGATTTTCATCTAGTGTCGGCCAGTTCTATTCAACAATTCAATGTTGCAGATTTCAAATGGAATCTGCAATAAAAGACGAGCAAACTGTTACAAAAATGTACCAACCAATTCCTTCTTATAAATTGATTAAGGCTTTCACGGCCAAGATTTTCAGTGTTATGATCTTCGTTCGGGTTTGAAGGCCGCCGTGGTTTGGAATTGTAACTTAGTTTCGCCAGCACGAGTGGCTGGTTTCTTCAGAGGTCTATTCATCCTGATGATTCACCGATGACTTGTGATTTTTAGTTCGTAAGCTGTATTTTTGTTGACACATGTAGCCCGCCTTTCTGATTGGTGCGTTGTTATTGGCCGAAGTGTTATTACCTGTTAGATTGCGTTGCACTGCTGCCACCTTAGCATCTTTCAGTATGAGATTCCAAATCAGGTTTAGCGTTAACACCTCCTCTTTTCTGTTGTAGTTTTCCGTATGTTTGTAGATTTCTATGGCTTCCCGTACAAGCCAACTGTGGTATCCATGATCGAGTGCAAGTAGTTTCATATCCTCAAACAGTATCGTATGATCTCTAAACGAGTATTCTGCTACTACCGATTTTTCAATTTGACCTAATCTACAGTTTCTCCGTTGTTCATTCAGCCTTGCACCCATGAATCTTTTGGTGGTACCGATATAAACTTTTCCGTAGGTGCATGGTATACGGTATACCCCGCAGCTGTCTTTCACAGATCTCAGTCTTTGCTGTATTTATCTAGTGGGCTTGAACACTGTTTTTATGTTATGCTTCCTTAGGATTTTTACAATTCTATCTGTAACCCTAGGAAGGTACGGTAGAAACGCATGTAAAACCGTTTGAGTTTCCTCACTATTTTGACTTGTAGACGTCTTCAGTTCCATGGCCGTGTTGATCTCGGTTACAGTGTATCCATTCGATCTTAAAGCCACTTGAAGATGTTCCAATTCTTCTTATAGGTGTTTCGGTTCACATATTATACGGGCACGTTCCGTCAGGGTATTGATAATTCCCCGCTTTTGACTTGGATGATGGTTCGAAAGTGCATGCAGATATCTGTCCGTGCGTGTCGGTTTTCGGGACACTTTATTTGTCAGTCTTGTGCCACGTCTCGTTCGACGCCTTTCTAGATATACTTGTCGAGAGCCTTTAAGGGTTTAAGATCGAATGAATGCAGTGTAACCAAGATCAACAAAGCCATGAAACTGAAGATGTCTACAAATCGAAATTGTGAGGAAACTCAAACGGTTGCACGTTCGTTTTTACCTTACATCCCTAGGGTTACAGATGGTATCGGAAAAATCCTAAGTACGCATAACATTAAAACAGTCTTCAAGCCCACCAGGAAAATACAGCAAAGTATGAGATCTACGAAAGACAAAAAAGATCCATTATTAGCTGCGGGAGTATACCGTATACCATGCACCTGCGGAAAAGTTTATATCGGTACCACCAAAAGATCCATCGGTACAAGGCTGAATAAACATCGAAGAAACTGTAGATTAGACCACTTGAAGATGTTCCAATTCTTCTTATAGGTGTTTCGGTTCACATATTATACGGGCACGTTCCGTCAGGGTATTGATAATTCCCCGCTTTTGATGGTTCGAAAGTGCATGCAGATATCTGTCCGTGTGTGTCGGTTTTCGGTACACTTTATGTGTCAGTCTTGTGCCACGTCTCGTTCGACCCCTTTCTAGATATACTTGTCGAGAGCCTTTAAGGGTTTAAGATCGAACGGATGCAGTGTAACCGAGATCAACAAGGTCATGAAACTGAAGATGTCTACAAGTCAAAATTGTGAGGAAACTCAAACGGTTGCACGTTCGTTTCTACCTTACATCCCTAAGGTTACAGATAGTATCGGAAAAATCCTAAGTACGCATAACATTAAAACAGTGTTCAAGCCCACCAGGATCTGCGAAAGACAAAAAAGATCCATTATTAGCTGCGGGAGTATCCCGTATACCATGCACCTGCGGAAAAGTTTATATCGGTACCACCAAAAGATCCATCGGTACAAGGCTGAATAAACATCGAAGAAACTGTAGATTAGGTCAAATAGAAAAATCGGCAGTAGCGGAACACGCGTTGAGTGAAGGAGATCATACGATACTGTTTGAAGATGTGAAACTACTTGCACCCGATCGTGGATACCACAGTTGGCTTGTACGGGAAGCCATAGAAATCGACAAACACACAGAAAACTACCACAGAAAAGAGAAGGCGAGAAGGTTTAACCGGATTTGGAATACTGAAAGATGCTAAGGTGGCAGCGGTGCAACGCAATGTAACAGGTAACAACACTTCGGCCAATAACAACGCACCAATTAGAAAAGCGGGCTACCTGTGTCAACATAAATACAGCTTACGAACTAGAAATCACGAGTCATCGGTGAACCATCAGGATGAATTAATAGACCTCTGAAGAAACCAGCCACTCGTGCTGGCAAAACGTTAGGATATAGTTCCAAACCACGACGGCCTTCAAATCCAAACAAAGATCGTAACACTGCAATTCCATCTCTTTCAGAAATAAAGAAAAATCCGATTTTTTTGTTGTGAAGGAACATTCATGAGGTACTGAAGAACCATTTTCGAAAGTGTAGTGAAGATAGGTTTCAGTAATACCATATTGTATAATTAACTTTTATTGCTGAAGAATTTTGAAATATTCAAGGAGACGTTATATTTTTTTAAGGACAGAACACAAGCAGTACAGGAGAATCCTCAAGGATCTCTGAGAGCGGTGCCCGAGCGGAAGTAGCGATTCCGATTTTATATATTTTTCACGCTAAAATTTGTCAACAGTGTCATGAGCGTGTTGCAAATTCATTGATTCAAAGCCCTTTCGATTTGAATCGCTGGAGATAAAATCCATTTAAAAAACCTTCTCAGGAAGTTTACTTCACATTGACGCAGTTCTCCAAATGAATGAGTACTTGCGCAGTCAAGTTCGAGGTGTACTGAGTTGAACCTCAAGGATAAACAAACTGCTAACTTTTGAAATAACTCAACAGAAGAAGGCAGATGAGTTAAATATCAGAACCTCCAAAATTTTCTCTGTATATCAACAGAATCAAAATAAATCTGTAGGTATCATCATAGTATGAAAAAAATACTTCCTTTCAACATTTGCTCATGCCCCTATCTCACATCTCTTTGTTAACAAACCAATGACACTTTGCTCCAACGCAACGTGACGGAGTGGCTTATTTGCAGATTCATAGGTACTTTAAATTTTATACTTTTTTTACTTTAGATATGAAGGAAAAGATGCATGTCATATGACAAACGCATTGACTTTATGTGCAACTTCTATTGGCTCAGAAGAATAAAATTATGAGCTTCAATCTACATGAAAATTGAAGGATGCAGCATGAAATTGAGAATGACTATGTCAAAGTTACTGACACCAAATAGCGAAATAGTCAATAATTTGACCCAGTGATATTTTCTGCAATAAATCGAAAAAAATTCTTGTCATAATTCAAATGTATTTCAAAATTTTTCTCAGGTTACGCCTTGGGGATCTAGAAAACTACTCAAATGGATAAAAGACACATACAACAGCCCCAGGATTATCATAACCGAAAATGGTTATTCTGATTTCGATGGAACACTGGATGATGATAAACGAATTCATTATATATCGGTAAGAACTCATTGGAATAATGACAATGGTTCTATATAGAACTAAAATGAATCATCACTTTTATTGTGGATTTTTTCAACAAAACATGGTAGGTCAATAAATGTCAACTTTAACAGCTTGTTGGCGTGGTCAGCAGGTTTCAGTGCCTAACGTTTCGTCGACTACTGCGGTAGACATACTCAAAGGTGATGAGGTATGCAATGAATATTCATCGATAACCACTTTTTCCATTTTGAATTATACATATATTATATTTAGAATCATTCATTCACAATTTGAAATTTCTAGAACTATTCGTACAATGGGTTAGGAGTATTTATAAAATTACTAGCGGATCTGGTGAACGTCGTTCCGCCTGACGGGCAATGAATGAGCAGATTTAGGATAGACTTAAACAACATTACGTGAACTGTCTGTTGCGTTTTGTTATAACAAATAGACAATGAACATGAGCTGTCAGTATGAATGTGAGCTGTCAGTTGCGTTTTATTATAACACGTCACAATTTTTATTGATTTTTTGCTCTTTAATTATTATTATTTTTCTTGATATTATCCTCATCTCGACGAAGGCCAATCCAAAAACACAAAAATCATAAAAGTTGGTCGTGTCGTTCTTGAGGCCTTATCTTATTATTATTTTTATTGTTGAATTTTTCAGTTAGGAGTATTTATAAAATTACTAGCGAATCCTGTGAACGTCGTTCCGCCTGACGGGCAATGAATGAGCTGATTCAGGATATACTTAAACAACATTACGTGAACTGTCAGTTGCGTTTTGTTATAACAAATGGACAATGAACATGAGCTGTCAGTATGAATGTGAGCTGTCACCATTAAAGTGCGCACCATATGGGAAACTTTTTTTCGAAAATTTTCAATGAAGTTCAACAACTTCGGCTCTTGTTTGTGCTTCAAATTCAACTTAAAATGATGCGGCCAACTGCGACCCACTGACGTTCAGTGTTTTTTTTTGAAAAAAATTGAAAAAGTGCATTTCTGAATCGAATTTAACAAAAAGTTACTTGAAAAAGTTGTGTCTACGGCAATTTTATATCCATCAATTCATGAATACATAACAAACTCATCATGGAGTTTAACTTTTCTGATACATTTTTACTTATACGGACATTTTTAGTGAGAAATTGAAACTGTGCACCAGTCATGTTAAAATTTTTATAGCAAATTTTTAATTTCTCTCTAAAAATGTCCATATAAGTAAAAATGTATCAGAAAAGTTAAACTCCATGATGAGTTTGTTATGTTTACATGAATTGATGACAATTAACTGAACTTGTTTTTTCAAGGACAAAACACAAGCACTACATGAAAATCCTTAAGGCGCTCTCAGAGCGGTGCCTATCCTAAATCTGCTCATTCATTGACTGTAAGTCAGAAACGGACGTGTAATCGAAAATTTCAAAGAAACCGTCAATTTTTTTTTCATCTAGAAGGATTAATTCTGATATGGAAATCATACCTGCAACTTCACCCCCCTGCGGACAGCAACTAACCCCATATTTTTTTCAATAGCAAGGGTGTCAAATGATACATCATTTGGAAGGTCTGTTACTTCTGTAAATTTTTCTGTCTGTTACTCTGTTACTTCCGTTGATTTTTTTTGAAATTGGTTTATTCGTTATTGAGAAATTAAATGTTGAACGTTTCATTTTTAAAAAAAAACCTAAAATTTGCTGTCGTTCATTTCAATGAAGAAATCAACAACAAATAATATCAGTGGAAACAAAATCCGTGGATAAAGTGTTCAAAATGACCTTCATCTAGTTCCATACAATAATACAGTCTACTTTCGAAACCGTTCCTTACATTGTTGAAGATGTCCAGAATCAGAAATCGGCATTCACGAATAATTCTCTGTCGCAGGTCTTCTAGATTTGTAGAATTTATTTGATTAGTAGGAAACGTTTTGAAATGGACGACACTGTTAGTTTTTTCTGCACTGGTAGGTTTTGTTGAATCTAGTTGTCGCAGAAGAAATAGTAGATAGTTGGCCACTTCACTTCTTTACGAATTATTATTCAGTCATCGTTGCTCACTGTGTTTCAACATGGTTTATTCTACTGAAGAAAGAATAAAAATTGTTGCAACCTATGTTGTGCTAAAGCTGCTGCAGACCACAAGATGAGCCATCTATACGTTAAACAGTTAATGGATAAGTTTCGAACTTCAGGTTCTGGACACAACAGAAAACATGAAGTATCCCGTTCTGTCAGAAATTTACAAATTCCATCCGTTCAAAATAACCCAAACCTATTATACAATACATGTTTTTTTCATGTTGAATGGTGAAGTGAATATACGTGATTTCATTACTGGATCGATGTGAATCCTCATTTGGTGAAGGAAACAGATTCACAAAATCCACAAAAATTAAATGTCAGGGCCGACATTCTTGGTAATCATATTTTTGGACCAATCTTCATGAAAGTAATTTCAATGAAGACACCTACTTAAATCTATTACAAGACTGTGTAGATCCTATGATTACACAAATTTTGGAAAATGATGACAAGTTAGTAGCAACTGCAAGCACTAGCAAGATGGTGCACCCCTACATTTTGATGTTGGGGTGAGACAGTTTTTAGAAGAACGTTTTCCATTGCGTTGGATACGCAGAAGGGGTCCAGTAGAGTGGACAGCTAGATCACCTGATCTCACGCCGATGAACTTTTTTCTGTGGGGACACCTGAAGTCGAAAGTGTACTCTACTGAGCCTACAAATCAGAAGGAACTGCGACAGAGATAGTTGTTAGCCGCAGGGGGGTGAGGTTTCGTGTATGATTTCCATATCAGAATTATTCCCCCTAGAAATAAAAATTGACGTGTTCTTCGAAATTTTCGATTAAATGTTAGTTTGTTTGTTTCTGACTTACAGGAGACATCAAGTTTTCGTTGAAACGCCCTGTATAGGTAGATGAATGTGTGTGGTTTGCGATGAATCTTGTCACTAAAACAATTCAATGAAAAGATTCGCTTCGCCAGTCTCGTGCTGTATTTATTTAAAAAAAATTGAGTGAAATGATTCATATCCTAAAACAGCATAGTGTCAACATAGAAAGGTATATAGATAACCTCAATACTGCATATTCTGAAAGTAAAATATCGAAATACCTTTGCAAATGAGAATACAACTTAATATAGTTCACAAATTGAACTGTGCTATTTTGGCTATCTCAAAATACGAGTTTTTGAACATGAGAGATTCAAACCTATTTTTAAGCGAAATGATATCTATCTTTCAAAGCAAATGAATGAAACCATGCATTTGCTTCATATAATTGTTTTGCTGTTATATTAAATATAGTGTTATCATTGGTTATGAATACAGGCTACACTGTTCTTTATTTCTCATATACAGGGCTTTTCATGATCAGCGTTAATTAGCCGTGTCTGGCAAACTATTCAACGGATCAACCTGAAAATTCCACAGTTTGCATAAATCAATATGACCTACACGCCTAAAATATTTTAGACGAAGCGGCGTTGTCGCTTCCACTATAAAGTAGCGTCTTCTTTGATTTTTCAAATGGAACACCCCGTATATAATATCATATTATAATTTATTATCACTTTGTATATACTATTTCCCTATACCTATCTATTACCGTTTGGAAGATATATATTATTTTCGATATTTTTTTTTACCAAACACGAACTTTTATAAATGCTGATAATCTTGAACTCTCTTGCACTAAAACGATCAAATTTGAAATGGAGTGGAGTGATACTATGAGGATCTTCACTCCGAGTCATATTTTCATTTGCCTCATACAGGGTCTTCAAAAAATGCAGATACTTTGATCTCATGAAAAAATGAGTGGAACTCAATTTTTTCAAATGGAACACCCTGTATATTTCAACATTTTTGAGCTCTACATCCAATTTTA